GAGAGAGAGAGAGAGAGAGAGAGAGAGAGAGAGAGAGAGAGAGAGATCGATCAGGGGTCAGAGACCCAAGGAGAAGAGAGAGAAACAAAGGTCCTTTCCATTACAAAATGGAAAGAAGCAGCCTGCAGTGATGTTAGTCTCTGGGGATGAACCGTGGAAAAACAGAAGAGGAAGAAGCCTTCGAGAGAGGCTGGGAGGAGAAGATACTCTCACCTAAAGCAGAACGGTTCATTTCATCTCCCTTAAGGCTTCTTGCCAACACCACCCACTCAGAGACCCCCTGCCCCCCACCGTCGCGACTCCACTTTAAATGAAAACCCCAACCCTGGCATGCCTGGATTCCCCACCCACATCCTTGCCTGATTTTTCTCTAAAACCTGCTCTTGCCCTGTTTTACTCTATGTGGCATTGCTCTGTTTTTCACATGTTCATTTTTATCTTTTGTCATCTCCTCCTGGGTAGGAGTAATAGTAGAAGGGAAGCTCACCAGGCAGGGATTTCTGTCTGTTTCGTGCGCAGCACCGGAACAAGGCCTGCCCACCGCAGATGTATAATTAGTGCTTGTGGCATGAATGGAGGAGGGGTAGCCATTCCTGTGAGCATTTTTGTTTACTAACAAAATCCCTTTGATTCTTCTAAGGGAGGAGATAGAATGTGAAGGACTGAGAGCGAAAGAGAGAGAAAGGTAGTGGATGCCCAGAAACACACACCTGCCCCGTGTCTCTCTCTCTCTCTCTCTCATTCTCTCCATTTTCCTCTTTCTCTTGGGCATGATCTTTCTCCCTCACCCTCTTTCTCTTCTTTCCCCTCTCTGTCTCTTCCCCTCTCTCTCTGCCATTCGCCTCTTTTCTCTCTTCTTTCTTTCTTTCTTTTCGTTTCTGTTTTTTTCTTCCATCTTTCTTTTTCTTCCTTTCTTTCTGTCCTCTTTCTTTCTTTTTTTCTTTCTTTCTTTCTTTCTTTCTTTCTTTTTCTTTCTTTCTTTCTCTTTCTTTTCTTTCTCTTTCATTTATTTATTTGTTTACTTATTTATTTGACGGAATCTCCTTCTGTCATCTAGGCTGGAGCGCAGTGGCATAATCTCGGCTGACTGCAACCTCGGCCTCCCAGGTTCAAGCGATTCTGCTGTCTCAGCCTCGCGAGTAGCTGGGATCACAGGCACCTGCTACCACACCCAGCTAATTTTTGTATTTTTAGTGGAGACGATGTTTCACCATGTTGGCCAGGCTGATCTCAAACTCCTGGGCTCAAGTGATCCACCGCCCTCGGCCTCCCAAAGTGCTGGGATTACAGGCGTGAGCAACCACACCCGGCCACCTCTCCGGTTTTCATTCACTGTTCCTCTCTGTCTCTCCCTCCCTCTCTCTCCGTCTCCTCTATCTTTTTTTTTTCTCTCTCTCTCCCTCTCTCTTTCTGTCTTTCTCCCTTGCTCTGTCTTCCTGTGTCTCTCCCTGTTTCTTTCTTTCCCTGTCTTCTGTCTCTGTCTGTCCCCTCTGTCTCTCTCTCTGTCCTTGTTTCTCGCTGTCTCTCACTCCCTTTCTCTTGGCCTCTCCCTCCCTCTCCGTCTCTCTTCTCTCTGTCTCCCCTTCTCTGTTTCCCTCCCTATCTCTCCCTCTCTCTCTCCCTCCGTCTCTCTCTGTGTCTCTTTCTCTCTGACTCTCCCCACTTGTCTTTCTATCTCTCCTTCCTTCTCTCTGTCTCTTCTCCCCGTCCCTCCACGTCCCCCGTGTTACCTGTATGGTTCAGCTGCAGCTCAGCTATGTCCCACTGGAAGAAAAGACCAGAAAACAGGGCACGGACGTAAGCAGAGAGGTTCTATGTGTCCCCCGTGCCAGGAGCTCTCTTTTCTCTGTCCATCCTCCTTTCTACCTCTCATGCCACGGCGCGCACGGGTGATTTCATTTTATTTTATTTACTCCTAAGACTTCTTAAAGAGGAAGCAGGTCTGAATCAGCGGGGAGCGTAAAGTGGAGACCTTCAAAAGAACTTCTTAGTTTCCCGAACCGTTTTCCTGTATGTCACTGGGCGCGAGTGCACCGCGCGCACCGGACTCTCTCCGCTGCAAAGGTGCCCGGCGCGGTCCCCAAGGGGACCCCTCCCCCACCCGGAGCGAGTGGCTGGGGTCATCCCGTCCTAGGAGGCCCCAGGGAGCCCCCACGCCCAGCCTTGTGAAGCCCCCAGCAGCTTCTGAGTCAGCCTGCCGGGGAACACCAGAGCCGAGTCATCTTCCATTTCCATGTGCGCCTACCTTTCCCGTCCCGGGATCTCCCTGTACCTCCTGGCAGGGTGACTCTCTCGGAGCCCCTACACCGCGCAGCCTGGTCCCCGCCTCGCCTCCCTGTTCTGGTCTCTGTTTCTGCCCTACCCGATCTTCCTCCCTGGCCTCTTTGTACCCATCTCATTCTGATTTTGTCTTTTCTCTCCTGCGCGTCTCAGTCTCCGCCCTGGTGCACGGTCCCTCCGCCCCTCTCCGTATTCTCTGCCGGAATAAGTTCGGATGTTTTCTTCCCAACTTTCTATCTCAACTCACCCCAAGTGACTCGAGCGGCAGCTGCTGCTGAGCCCGTGAGAGGCGCTGGATGCAGACCACGAGGCAGATCGCCAAGCCCGCGACCAATGGAACCACAGCAGCCCGCAGGGCGCACGCATAGGGCCTGCGCCGCACCGCGCAGCCGGAACCCTCCTCCGGCATCTCCGCGGCGATCACCTCCGCTAGCGCAGGCGGGGCGAGGGGGGCGCAGAGCGCTGCGGAGAAGGAAGGAAGGCAACTGCAGCCCCCTCCCGGGGCTCCTGGGCGTCTACTTGCCTCAACTTGTCAGGGGACCAGCCTGCCCCTCTCTGGGGATGTCCGGCCGGTCGAGGGGAGGGACTAGAGCGATTGGCGAGGGGAAATTCCCTCCAACTGCTACCAGTCTGCAGCTCGTACAGTGGGTGGAGGTGGTTGCCGGATGGGCCAGGCAGTGGCCTCGGGTGAGCCACTGAGTTGCCTGTCCCCAACCCCTCCCCGCCCAAATCTTCAGGCAGAAGACACCCAATCTTCCTATTTCCCTCTCCACCTCATTCTTCCGGGGCCCATTCATTTATTCAACAAACTTCCACTGCACATTTGTTAGGGACTAGACTGTGTTCTGTGCACTGGGGGTACAGCAGGCATCCAAGAATTGGGGGTGCTCCCCAAATATTCGTGTACCCATCTCCTGCATTTTTTTTTTTTTTTTTTTTGAGACGGAGGTCTCCCTCTGTCGCCCAGGCTGGAGTGCAGTGGCACTATCTCAGCTCACTGCAACCTCGGTCTCCTGGGTTCAAGCGATTCTCCTGTTTGAGCCTCGCGAGTAGCTGGGATTAACAGGCGCGCGCCATCATGCCTGGTTAATTTTTTGTATTTTTAGTAGAGATGGGGTTTCACCGTGTTGGCCAGGCTGGTCTTGAACTCTTGACCTCCAGTGATCCGTCCGCCTTGGCCTCTCAAAGTGCTGAGATTAAAGGCGTGAGCCACCGCTCCCGGTCAGTTATCTCCTGCATTCTCGGAAACCTCCTGCTTTTTTGTTTAAAGTTAAATTAAACTAATATTTTTATTTATTTATTTATTTTTTTTTGAAACAGAGGCTGGCTCTGTTGCCCAGGCTGGAGTGCAGTGGTGTGATCTCGGCTCACTGCAAGCTCTGCCTACTGGGTTCACGCCATTCTCCTGCCTCAGCCTCTTGTGTAGCTGGGACTACAAGTGCCCGCCACCAAGCCTGGCTAATTTTTTTTGTATTTTTAGTAGAGATGGGGTTTCACCATGTTAGCCAGGATGGTCTCGATCTCCTGACCTCGTGATCCGCCCGCCTCGGCCTCCCAAAGTGCCGGGATTACAGGCGTGAGCCACCGCGCCCGGACTAAATGAATATTTTTAGAGACAGAGTGTTGCTCTGTTGCCCAGGCTGGAGTGCAGTGGCGCCACACAGTTCACAGCAGCCTCAAACTCCGGGGCTTCAGTGACCCTCCCATCTCAGTCTTTTGCATAGTTGGGTCTACAGGCGCACGCTATCATGCCTGGCTAATTAAATTTTTTTTTTTTTTTTTTGGTAGAGGATGGGGTGTTACTATGTTACCAGGCTGGTCTCAAACTCCTGGGCTCAAGCGATCCTCTTGCATAGGCCTCCCCAAAGTGCCAGGATTACAGGTGTGAGCCACCGCACCCAGGCCCCTGCCTCTGTTCTTGATGGCTGTAGTGGGTTAACAGCATCCTCCCAGAATTCATGGCCACCTGAAACTGCAGAATATGACCTCATTTAGAAATTAGGGGATTTTTGCAGATGTAATTAGGATTAAATGAGGTCATACTGGATTAGAGAGGGCCCTCAGGTGGAGAGAAAAGAGACACATAGAGAAGGAGGCCATGTGAAAACAGAAACAGAAACTGAGCAAGGCAGATGAAAGTCAAGAAACACCAAGGAGTGGCCCGACGAGGTGGCTCATGCCTGTAATCCCAGCACTTTGGGAGGCTGAGGCGGGTGGATCACTTGATGTCAGGAGTTTGAGACCAGCCTGGCTAACAGGGTGAAACCCCGTCTCTACTAGAAATACAAAAAATTAGCCGGGCGTGGTGGTGGGTGCTTGTAGTCCCAGCCACTCGGAAGGCTGAGGCAGGAAAATGGCGTGAACCAGGGAGGTGGAGCTTGCAGTGAGCTGAGATGGCGCCACTGCACTCCAGCCTGGGCGACAGAGCCAGACTCTGTCTCAAAAAAATAAATAAATAAAAATAGAAAATAAATTAGCGGGGTGTAGTGGTGTGTGCCTGTAATCCCAGCTACTCAGGAGGTTGAGGCAGAGAATCACTTGAACCTGGGAGGCAAAGTCTGCAGTGAGCTGAGATCGGGAGATTGAGACCAGCCTGGCCAACATGGTGAACCCCTGTCTCTACTAAAAATACAAAAATTTGCTGGGTGTGGTGGTGCACGACTGTAATCCCAGCTACTCAGGAGGCTGAGGCAGGAGAATCACTTGAACCTAGGAGGCGGAGGTTGCAGTGAGCTGAGATCACACCACTGCACTCCAGCCTGGGCGATAGAGTGAGACTTCATCTCAAAAACCCAAACAAAACCCAAACCCAGAACCAAAACCAAAACAAAGAAACATCAGGGATTGCTGGCTAGGTAAATATCAAATAAATTGGTGTAGGAGGTGATCTTGGAGGTGCCGTCCACCCACTGCCCCAGACCTGGAGACCTAGGGCTCCCGTGAAGGAAACTCCTTTATTACTTGGGAGATCCCAGTACTATGTAATCATACGTATATGCTGATTTCTTGGACGTCCCAAAATTCTAGACCTATTTGACTTCCACCCTTCACCTGCCCCGCGCATGCTGTATGTAGGCTCAGGCTCCGAAATCTCCCATCTCTCTGGTTTCTAGCCACTAGAAAGTGGAAGAGGCAATGGAGTCTCCCCTTGGACCAGTTAGGGGGCATGTGGCACTACTGACACCTTGATTTCAGGCTGTGGCTTCCAGAACAGTGAGAGTAGACATTTCTGTTGTGTGAAGCCATCCAGTTTGTGACACTTTGTCACAGATTCCCGAGAAAACTAATCCAAAGGTGTAGTTAGAGCATAAAGGCCATCCTAACCTTGTACAATGGTGACAAAATGTATGAGTCAACCCTGACTCATTACAATTGTACCAAAGCTTGCCAACTGGATGTGGCTCATGTTTGGTTGTAGACACTGACATTCAAAAGCTTTGTTACATATTGGGGGTGTGGGTGAAGGGCAGGTGGGGACTCTATGGACCACTTTTGTAGCTTCTTGTGAGCCTTAAACTATTTCACAATAAACAGTGACACTCAACTCCTGTTATTTGAGGTAGTGATTGCCCACGAACACCGAACAATTCTCCTAGGGGAAATTATATAGTTAGGGGCCGGGCATGGTGGCTCGCACCTGTAATCCCAGCACTTTGGGAGGCCGAGGTGGGCGGATTACTTGAGGTTAAGAGTTGGAGACCAGGCCGGGTGCGGTGGCTCATGCCTGTAATCCCAGCACTTTGGGAGGCTGAGGCGGGCGGATCACGAGGTCAGGAGATCAAGACCATCCTGACTAACACGGTGAAACCCCATCTCTACTATTAAAAATACAAAAAAATTAGCTGGGCGTGGTGGCGGGCGCCTGTAGTCCCAGCTACTTGGGAGGCTGAGGCAGGAGAATGGTGTGAACCTGGAAGGCGGAGGTTGCAGTGAGCTGAGATCGTGCCACTGCGCTCCAGCCTGGGTGACAGAGCAAGCCTCTGTCTTAAAAAAATAAAAATAAAAATAAATAAATAAAAGAGGTTCCAGCCTCTTTTTCCGGCTGGAACTATGGAGGGTGTAGAAGAGAAGAAGAAGGTTCCTGCTGTTTCAGAAACCCTTAAGAACAAGCGAAGGAATTTCGCAGAGCTGAAGATCAAGCACCTGAGAAAGAAGTTTGCCCAAAAGATGCTTCGAAAGGCAAGGAGGAAGCTTATCTATGAAAAAGAGAAGCACTATCACAAGGAATATAGGCAGATGTACAGAACTGAAATTCGAATGGAAAGGATGTCAAGAAAAGCTGACAACGTCTGTGTACCTGCAGAACCCACACTGGCGTTGGTCATCAGGATCAGAGGTACCGATGGTGTGAGCCCAAAGGTCCGAAAGGTGTTGCAGCTTCTTCGCCTTCGTCAAATCTTCAATGGAAACTTTGTGAAGTTCAACGAGGCCAATCAACGAGCTGAGGACTGTAGAGCCATACATTGCATAGGGGTACCCAAATCTGAAGTCAGTAAATAAACTAATCTACAAGCGTGGTTATGGCAAAATCAGTAAGAAGTGAATTGCTTTGACAGATAGCGCTTTGACTGTGTGATCTCTTGGAAAATATGGCATCATCTGCATGAAGCATGTCATTCATGAGGTCTATACTGTTGGAAAACGCTTCAGAGAAGTGCATAACTTCCTGTGGCCCTTCAAATTATCTCCTCCACAAGGTGGAATGAAGAAAAAGATCACCCATTTTGTAGAAGGTGGAGATGCTGGCAACAGGAAGGAGCAGATCAACACAACAGGCTTCTTAGAAGAATGAACTATGGTGTGTACTACAATTATTTTTCTAAGCTGTTCGGTTAATAAACAGTACCTGCTCTCAAACTGAAAGAAAATTGTGTGTGTATATTTATGTAGTTAGCTTCCCGAGAGCCTCTGGCTATGAATCAGCAAGCAGTCAGTGTCATTAACACCGAACTCACAGCCAACAGAGTTAGACTCCAGGTCTGGGGGAAATGGGTAGACAGCACCTTCAAGACAACCTCCTACCCTAATTTATTTAACATTTACTTAGCTGATGTTTTTATCAGTTTAAGATATAAATAGTTTAGAACTCACATCATTAAGAAATAAGTAATACCTTCTAAAAAGATGGGGAGAAAAGAGATGGGGCGTGGTGGCTCATACACGTAATCCCAGCACTTTGAGAGGCCGAAGTGTCTTAGAAAAATCCCAAAACGAAACAGGAGCTGTCAAGGCACAAAAATAAGTACACCTGCTTATGAAACTGAATCTCATTCACCACAAGAAAATTGGGAATTGAAAGCTCCGTGAAAAACAATTTTTCTTTCTTTCTCTTTCTCTCTCTCTCTCTTTTTTTTTTTTTCTTTAAGATGTTGTCTCCTCCTGTCGCCCAGCTTGGAGTGCAGTGGCGCCATCTGGCTCACTGCAGTCTCCGCCTCCCAGGTTCAAGCAATTCTCCTGCCTCATCCTCCTGAGTAGCTGGGATTACAGGAGCCCACCACCACGCCTGACTAAGTTTTGTATTTTTAGTAGAGACAGGGTTTCACCATGTTGGCCAGGCTGGTCTTGAACTCCTGACCTCACGTGATCTGCCCACCTTGGCCTCCCAAAGTGCTGGGATTGCAGGTGTGCGCCTCCCGCACTCAGTCACACTTTATCTTGTCACCTGTGATGTGGTAAAAGATAAGAGTGTTGGATGATTCACCTCTCAGCAAGTGCGTGGGTGAGAAGGAACCTCAAACCTAGAGGCCAGAATCTGAAATGGACCCAACTTTTTGGAAACACAGCTTGTTAAAATCTATCAAGGCACCAAAATGCACCTTCCCCTCAACCCAGAAATTTTACTTCAAGGATTTTCTTTCGTAAGCACACCTGCACACATCACAGACGCAGACGGATGCACACAAACAGTGTGGTGTGGTCTGATTAATACTGGAACACAACCAACCAGAAGACCCATGCGTGATTGAGGCTTTAGTCCTGTGCTGAGCACTTGTCAGGTTTCACCTTTTCTGACCTTCCCAAGAACGCTATGAAGTGGATCGTGCTGTTATTTCCATTTTCCCTATGAGCAGGCTCAGAGAGGAAGGCCAGCAGCTTAATCTGCCTAGCAAAGAGCTTGGAGAAGAGGTGCCTAGATTTGAATGTGGATCCATATCATGTACCTGAAGAACCTGGACCTTCCCACCTGAGTCGCTTAGTGACTTGACCTGGCCTCCGACCACATTCCAGTCTGCAGTTCTGCTGGAGGTCATTTGCACCATTTCTTTCTTTTTTTTTTGAGACGCCTTGCTCTGTCACCCAGCCTGGAGGGCAGTGGTGTGATCTCGGCTGTCTGCAACCTCTGCCTCCCGGGTTTAAGTGATTCTCTTCCTACCTCAGCCCCTCAAGTAGCTGGGATAACAGACGTGCACCACCACATCCGGCCAATATTCGTACTTTTAGTAGAGACGGGGTTTTGCCATGTTGGCCCGCCTGGCCTTGAACTCCTGACCTCAAGTGATTCACCAGCTTCGGCCTCCCAAAGTTCTGGGATTACAGGTGTGAGCCACCACGTCCAGCCACGGTCGTGTGCATTGTTTTTTGGTGACGTTTGAGAAGAAGGTTTTCTAAAACCAGAGTTTCGCCATCTGCAGACTCTAGAGCTGAGGCTCCAGGACAAGACGTCCACTAATGTTGGTTCTCTCTCTCTCTCTCTCTCTCTCTCTCTCTCTCTCTCTCTCCCCCCCCCCTCTTTCTGTTGCTCTAAGTCAGGGGAATCATGAGCCCTGTGCAGGGAAAGAGTTGAGGGGAGAACCCCCAGAGAACAGCTGGAACACAGGAAGTAAGATCCATTTTCCTCCTAGGAAAGCCCGAGGCCCACGAGGCTGATTTTTGGCTACCTTCTGCTTCCCCCCAAGGGAAATCTGGAAATTTCTGCCTCTCTTCCATAACCCTGGAAGCCACGGGCCACTTGAAAGTGCCAACTCAGGCTTCCTCTTTGTCCAACTTGGCCACTCCTTCTCTTTCCCTTTGCTGTGGCTGATCTCAAGTTGCCACAGGGATATGCCCCTTGGTGGTGATACAGGAGTTAAGAAGGAATTACTGGCCGGGTGTGGTGGCTCACGCCTGTAATCCCAGCACTTTGGGAGGACGAGGTGGGCGGATCATCTGAGGTCTAGAGTTCGAGAACAGCCTGACCAACAAGGAGAAATCCTGTCTCTACTGAAAATACAAAATTAGTCGGGCATGGTGGCGCATGCCTGTAATCCCAGCTATTTGAGAGGCTGAGGCAGGAGAATCGCTTGAACCTGGGAGGCAGAGGTTGTGGTGAACTGAGATCGCGCTATTGTACTCCAGTCTGGGCAACAAGAGTGAAACTCCGTCTCAAAATAAAAAAAAAAAAAAGAGAGAGAGAAGGAATTACTTAGGCAGAGAGCAAGGGCATGGCAGTCGTCGCTAAGGTTTTTCTTTTTAATGAAAGGCAGCCCCAAATCATTTTCTAACAAAGAGCAGCCTGCAAGCTGGGAGCTTGCCCGGATGAAGGCCGGCAGGAATTAAGGACTAGGCATATTGACGATGGCAGCTCTATCTTCCCTTCTCTGCCAGCCACATGTACTGTAAAGGAGCAGACAAGATGGTGCCAATCAACTAGAAAGCCTATTTGCTTAAGAAGGTTAGGCTGTGGGCAGCCAGGCGCTGTGGCTCACACCTGTCATCCCTGCACTTTGGAGGCCGAGGCAGGTGGATCAGCTGAGGTCAGGAGTTCGAGACCAGCCTGGTCAATGATGAAATCCAGTCTCAGCTAAAAATACAAATAATAGCTGGGCGTGGTAGTGAGCGCCTGTAATCCCAGCTACTTGGGAGGCTGAGGCAGAGAATCGCTTCAACCAGGGAGGTGGAGGTTGCAGTGAGCCGAGGTCACGCCATTGCACTCCAGCCTGGGTAAGAAAGCGAGACTCCATCTCAAAACACACACGTGCACATACACATAGCTAGGGTGGGGCAACCAGCCTTCTCTGCACACTATGTAGATGTCATACCTAATCAGACCAATCTGTGAGCCCTATGTAAATCAGACACCGCCTTCTCTAGCCTGCCTATAAAGTCTGCTGTGGTCTGCTGGCTCCCCTTTTTCCTGATCTCTCTCTCTCTCTCTCTCTCAGCTCCTCTTCTCTCTCTTTTCTTTTTTTTTTTCTTTGAGACGGAGTCTTGCTCTGTCACTCAGGCTGGAGTGCAGTGGTCTGATCTCAGCTCAGTGCAACTTCCGCCTCCTGGGTTCAAGCAATCCTCCTGCCTCAGCCTCCCGAGTAGTTGGGATTACAGGCATGCACCACCATGCCCAGCTACTTTTTTGTATTCTTAGGAGAGAATCCCACTGCTGGGAGGGAGGGTATCAAGACGCTCTTACTTCTCACTCTTCCATTCCTGTTCCTTTCTTTCTTTTTCTTTTTTTAGATGGAGTTTTGCTCTTGTTGCCCAGGCTGGAGTGCAGAGATGCAATCTCGGCTCACTGCAGCCTCTGCCTCCCAGGTTCAAGCAATTCTCCTGCTTCAACCTCCTGAGTACCTGGGATTACAGGCGCCCACCACCACAATCAGCTAATTTTTGTATTCTTCGTAGAGTCCGGGTTTCACCATGTTGGCCAGGTTGAACTCCTGACCTCAGGTGATCCACCCACCTCAGCCTCCCAAAGTGCTGGGATTACAGGCGTGAGCCACCATGCCTGGCTCATTCCTATTCCTTTCTTTATCCCATGAGCCAGTAGGACTAGGAGAATTCTGTGCAAACGGAAGCAACAGGAAAATTTTTACCTATGTGAAAGTCTGGGCTGGCATGTCATCTCCGTTCTGCAAAATCTTTAGGAGCCAAAATTCTTTCGCTCAAGTGCCTCTGACACACAAAAGGTGATGCCCTTGTCTGCAAAATACAAAGTGACACACCACCATGGCTGAGTTCCAGGAAACAGGAAGGTCAAAAAGTGAAGGGAAGCAATTCTCCTTCCTTTTCAAGGAAGTGCTTGCACTAATAAATTCCGCTCACAACCCATTGGCCAGGACTTTGTCACATGACTCAGGCAAGGGAGGCTGGGAAATGTAGTCTTCATTCTGATTGGCCATGTACCCAGCTGAAACTCCAGGGTTCTATTACTATCATTAACGGAATTTTGTGCTGCAGGTGTAAATTTCAAGGGGGCATCTCAAACCGTCATTGTCAAGATAAATGATATTCTCAGGCAACATTTTAAAAAAATCTAAAAAGTGAAGGTCAAAAAAAAAAATTCATGATGAACACATTGCAAAAATGTTTTAAATAAAGATGAGATCCAACCCTACACTTCTACAATCTGCTTCATTTTCTTCCACTCTAATTCTGGTCTTGCAGCCCAAATTTGCATTCTGGCTCCAACACTTACCAGCTGTGTGACCTACAGCAAATGTTTTAATCTCTCTGTGCCATAGTTCCCTGGAAGTAATGAAAGTATCTCACAGGTTTGCTATGAGGTTGGAAGGAATTAATATTTGTAAAACCGTTTAGCAAAGAGCCAGTACATGGTAAGGAACTGGTAAGAACTATTATTATCGTTGCTACTACTGAAACGGCCTCCTTGTCTGGAGTAACACCCGAGGTTCATAGTCTCACAGCCAAGGAAAACAAGGACATGGACATAGAAAGAGTGAGGTCAAGTGTTGCAGGGAGTCAGGGACCCTGAACAGAGGGACTGGCTGAAACCGTGGCAGAAGAACATAAATTGTGAAGATTTCATGGACATTTATTAGTTCCCCAAATTCATACTTTTATAATTTCTTACACCTGTCTTTATTGTAATCTCTGAACATAAATTGTGAAGATTTCATGGACACTTGTCACTTCCCCAATCAATATCCTTGTGATTTCCTATACCTGTCTTTAATCTCTTAATCCCATCATCTTCTTCATAAGCTGAGGAGGATGAATGTCGCCTCAGGACCCTGTGATTGTATCAACTGCACAAATTGTTTGCAGAGCATGTGTGCTTGAACAATATGAAATCTGGGCATCTTTAAAAAAAAAAGAACAGGATAACAGCAATGTTCAGGGAACAAGAGAGGTAACTTTGAATTGACCGCCGGTGAGCCGGACAGAACAGAGCCATATTTCTCCTCTTTCATAAGCAAATAGGAGAAATATCGCTGAATTCTTTTTCTCAGCAAGGAACATCCCTGAGAAAGAGAATGTGCCTTGAAGGTAGGCCTATAAACGGCCCCTTTAGAAGGCGTGCTGCCTTTTATGGTAGAAGCCAAAGGGATGAAATAAGCTCCGGTCTCCTGTAGCGCTCCCAGGCTTATTTGGACGAGGAAATTCCCGCCTAATAAATTTTGGTCAGACAGGTTGTCTGCTCTCAAATCCTGTTTCCTGATAAGATGTTACCAACGACAATGTGTGCCCGAAACTTCATTAGCAATTTTAATTTCTCCTCATCCGGTGGCCCTGTGATCTCGCCCTGCCTCCATTTGCTTTGTGATATTTACTGCCTTGTGAAGCATGTGATCTCTGTGACCCACACCCGATTCGTGCACTCCCTCCCCTTTTGAAAATCGCTAATAAAAACTTGCTGGTTTTATGGCTTGGGGAGCATCACGGAGCCTAGTGACATGTGATGTCTCCCCCGGACACCCAGCTTTAAATTTCTCTCTCTAGTGCTCTTTCCCTTTATTTTTCAACCCAGCCGAGACACTGAGGAAATAGAAAAGAACCCATGTTAAACATCAGGAGTGGGTTCTCCCGATAGTCGAGAGCTGAAGTTTAACAGGCGAAAGAAGGAGAAGAGCTCTCTTCTGCAGAGAGGGGTCCCAGAAAAATGGGTTGCTGTATCAGGGGTGAAATGTAGGGGGGTTTATAGTTAAGCTAGTGAGTAAACAGTGTTTGATTTACATAGGGTGTGAAAGACTGGTTAGACCACGTGTCCCGTTTGCATAGGGTGCACATTTCTGGTAGCTTCCCATTCTCTTTTATTATGCAGGCAGGTTCTCTACCCGAGCTGTGCTGTATTGCCCATTTCTCTGTTACTACACACGTGGTAACAAAAAAAAAGGAAGATGGAGCCTCCATGTTGGGCCTGCCTGGCCCCTGAGTAGCTCTTTTCTATTGGTGCACCTGCGGGCATTCTCCTGTGTAAGCTTCCAGCTTGCCTATCTTTGTTTGCAGCTCAATTTTTCAGGCTGCCATTTGGTAGAAAAGAAATGATTTGGGGACTGCTTTTTGTTAGAAGGGAAGCTCTGCCAAGGACTCTATTGCCTTCACTATCTACCAAAATAATTTCTGTCTACCTCCTGTATCACTACTACTGTTATTATTAATTTGAGAAAGAGTTTCACTCTGTTGCCCAGGCTGGAATGCAGTGGCCTGGGCTTACCGCAACCTCCGCCTCCCAGGGTCAAGTGATTCTCATGCCTCAGCCTCCCAAGTAGCTGGGACTACAGGAAAGCTGCCATTATGCACAGCTAATTTTTTTTTGTATTTTTAGTAGAGACAAGGTTTTACCACATTGGCCAGGCTGGTCTTAAACTCCTGACCTCAAATGATCTGCCTGCCTTGGCCTCCCACGGTGCTGGGATTACAGGGTGAGCTACTGCACTCGGCCTCTTATTATTTGTTTATTATTATCACTATTTTTGGAGACAAGGTCTTACTCTTTCACCCAGGCTGGAGAGCAGTGGTGCACTCATAGCTCCCTGCAGCTTCCAATTCCTGGGCTTGAGTGTTCCTTCTGCCTCAGCTTCCTGAGAAGGTGGGACTATAGGTGTGCACCACCACACTCAGCTAATTTTAAAAGTTTGTGGAGAGATGGGCTTTCGCTATGTTGCTCAGGCGGGTCTTGAATTCTTGGCCCCAAGTGATCCTCCCACCTTGGCCTTCCAAATTGTTGGGATTATAGGCATGAGCCACCACTCTTGGCCAGACTTTACACAATAAAAGTTTATTTCGGGTCACTCTGCCTATGGAGTGGCCATTCTTTACTCCTTCGCTTTCTGTTTTTCATTATTTGTTGTTGTTGTTGTTGTTTGTTTGTTTGTTTGAGATGGAGTTTTGCTCTTGTTGCCCCGGCTGGAGTTCAATGGCGTGATCTCAGCTCACTGCAACCTTCGCCTCCCGGGCTCAAGCGATTCTCCTGCCTCAGCCACCAGAGTAGCAGAGATTACAGGCACCTGCCACCACACCCAGCTAATTGTTTGTATTTTTAGTAGATATGGGGTTTCACCATGTTGGCCAGGCTGCTCTCAAACTCCTGACCTCAGGTGATCTGCCTGCCTTGGCCTCCCAAAGTGCTGGGATTACAACCATGAGCTAACACTCCTAGCCTATTCCTTTTCTTTCTTAATACACTTATTTCACTTAAAAAAAAAAAAAAAAAGTTTATTTTCTACTCACACAACATTCACATCAGGAAGGGGTTCTGCCTGTGGTAGGCTGCTGCTTCTTCTTTTTTGTTTTTGAGACAGGGCCTCACTCTGTTGCTCAGAGTGAAGTGCCGTGGCACAATCTCAGCTCAATGCAACTTCTGCTTCCTGGGTTCAAGTGATCCTCCTACCTCAGTCCCCCAAATAGCTGGGACCACAGGTGCACGGCACCATGCCCAACTAATGTTTTTTTAAATCTTCTACAAGTATTTTGTTATCAAACATTAAAAATCTACCCAAAATACAGGCCAGGTACAGTGGCTCACGCCTGTAATCCCACAATTTTGGGAGGCTGAGGTGGGTAGATCACCTGAGGTCAGGAGTTCGAGACCAGCCTGGCCAACATGGTGAAACTCCCTCTCTACTAAAAATTCAAAAAGTAGCCAGGCATAGTCGTGTGCGCCTGTAGTCGCAGCTACTCAGGAGGCTGAGGCTTGAGAATTGCTTGAACCCAGGAGGTGGAGGTTGCAATGTGCCGAGATCATGTCACTGCACTCCAGCCTGGGTGACAAGAGTGAGACTTCATCTCAAAAAACAAAAATATATACAGAATACAAAGACAGTATAATAGACTTGTCACCCAGGTTTAACAGCTACTAGTCATGCCATTTTTGTTTCATCTATACTTTGACCCATTTCTTACCCCCTACTTTATTAGTTTTTTGGGTTTTCTTTTTAGATAAAATATATATATTGAAAGGTACAATCTGAATTGTACCTTTTTGACAAATTAATACACTCATATAGACTCCCCCCTTTAAAATAATAGAATTACTCCACTTACCAATCACTAATGTACATATAAGTTATCTCAAAGTATTATTTACAATCCAAATTTTTATAAAATAGGTCAGAGTTTTGACTGAAAATTTTTTTTTTTTTTTTGAGACTGAGTTTTGCTCTTGTTGCCCAGGCTGGAGTGCAATGGTGCAATCTCGGCTCACCACAACCTCTGCCTCCTAGGTTCAAATGATTCTCCTGCCTCAGCCTCCTGAGTAGCTGGGATTATAGGCTCGTGCCACCACAGCTATCTAATTTTCTGTGTTTTTAGTAGAGATGGGGTTTTGCCATCTTTGCCAGGCTGGCCTTGAACTCCTGACCTCAAGTGATTTGCCTGCCTTGGCTTCCCAAAGTGCTTAGATTACAGGCGTGAGCCACTGCACCTGGCCTGTGTCTTTTTCGCATGATGCCTATGTTTGGTCCAGAGGTAGGGTAATTCTGACCTCCACATACAATGAGAAACGTTCCCTCTTCCACTATATTCTGAAACCGCTTGTGTAGAATTGGTGTTATTTATTCCTTAAATGTGTGATAAATATTTTACCAGTGGAGTCATCTGAGCTTGGACTTTAATTTGTGGGAAGGATTTTTATTTAGAGATGAGATCTTGTTATGTTGACCAGGTTGGTCTTGAACACTTGGCCTCAAGCAATCCTCTCACCTTGGTCTTCCAAAGTGCTAGGATTACAGGTGTGAGCCACCAACACCCATCCTGGCTATTGGTTTTCTATGTATCATATGACCTTGTTCTTCGTGTTTTCCAT